CCGCCAACCCCTTGATCGCCCTGGAACCGACTCCCTAAGGCCCGGCCCCCTTGGCCCTGGCCTCGTCCTCCTTGCGGCCTCCCTCCGGCCGCGACAACAGCGTAGGATCTCCCCTGACCCACACCGTTGTCCGCCTCCTCTAATCCCCACTCAATCTGGTCGTAGGGAATCTCATCCACACTACCCTCATCAAAAGTCATGACAAGGCTATCCTTGGTCTTTACCTGCCCTGAGATAGTGCGGCCTTTCCATTGCTTACCCCTGTCCAAGTCTTTGTGCCAGAAGATAGACAGAGACACTGACTTTGCTTCAAAAGCCACCACCTCATGACTAAGAGAATCGTAAGTGGTGGCAGGGTCTTCGCTTTTCGTGAAGAACTGCCCTCGAAAGGCTTCGGGCATAGCCCGGTAAAAGAGGTTGACCAACTGGCCCTCTATGACCCCATGGTCAGGGATGGCCACCAACTCATCCATTGTACCCTTGAGTGCCCCGACACTCTTCCATTTACGAGAATGGATGGTTTGGAGCTTGTCTGAGGCCTTGACACTGCGAGCGACATCAGCAAATCGCTCGCGCAGCAACTTCAGAAATTCGGTGAGGGACGTAAATGAGGAGTACGCAACGGGATCATCACTACAGTTGGCAGCGCGAACTAGGGACCTTGCAAAACTGGCGGCCTCATCTCTCAATGCGTGGATAGCAATTAAGACTTGCTGATCTAGGGAGACCTGTTGCAAGTGCATATAGGTCTTAACGTTGGCCTCCCAATTGTCAAAGTTTTCCTCCCTCTTCCCGCTGTAGGAATCGGGGAACTTGACTTTGACAGGCTCCCGGCGAGGAGGACGTGCTTCCTCCTCCTTGGGAGCTGCCGCCTTGACGCCTTCAATGGCGCCGGCGCTGAACCGCTCAGTCTTGTCGAGGCGATGACCCACCTCGACTCCAACGGCGCCTACCAGCTCACGAGCAAAGTCTCGAAAGCCCAACCGTATCGAGCGCACCGCTATGTCCTGGCTTCTGCTAAAGTCATATTGGTCTGCCTGAACCCGTGCTAGGCATGCCACGCTTCGAGCTATGACTCGCATCTGATTCGGGAGATCAGGCTGGGCGGCTAATTGCGCCTCTATATTCTTCACTTCCTCTAAGGCCTCTGCTGCCTCCGCTGCCTTGTCAATTCTCCTCTTCTTCTCCCGCATCACCGCTAATTTCCATTCCATCCTCTTCTCATCTTCCAACGCTTGACGTTCCAGAGGGTCTTTCTCTGCCTCCCAAGCCTTCATGGCGGCTTCTTGCTGAT